AATATTATGATTTATATTATCACAAGGAAGGGCTTTATTCTGCTTTGTTTAAAACAGGATGAAAAGAACGCAGAGTAAAATTATAAACGTATTCAGTGGTATTTCTGAAAGAGGAAACTGCTAATTATCATGAGGGATGAATGGGAACGGGAGAGGTGTGGGGCCATTTGGGAAGAGAAGTGACAGACGAAGCCCAGATTAAGATGGTAGCCTTGGGACTGGAGAGAAAATGCACAGAACACAGTAAGAGCCAAGGGAGGAGGAATTCCCATGCTCCACTGACTCATCCCAGAAGACAGAGGAGGAGACAGCTCGCTATCGAGACAGGCCGGCTGCTTACTGCTTTGAGAAGGATTCTGAGGCCACATCCAGACCCTATGGGAAATTATACCCTATTAGATTACTAATGCTTACGATGAACAAAGCATGAGGGCGGAGTGACTCATGCATGCTACACAGCTGCCACCTCTGTGCTAAGGAATGGAGGAAGAGGTGAGTTTCAAATGGACATGCAAGGTAGGCACTAAACTAGGCAGATGAGGTCATGGAGATGTGACAAGGACAAAGGCAAGGCATTCTAATTCAGAATTCTTGACATCACGTCTACTACAGGAATGCCCTAAATGCTTGCTGAATAAATGAAACGATGATTTCAGTTTGATCTGCAAAATTTGTTTGCCCTTTGAGTTGAAACACCGACTACATCATGCAGCTAAAAATACTCCTCAATTTGGGATTATGTTTCAATAAACCCATCATATACTGAATGTGTGTGGTTTTTTTTTTTTTTTTTGAGACAGAGTCTCACTCTGTTGCCCAGGCTGGAGTACAGCAGTGCAATCTTGGCTCACTGCAACCTCCGCTTCCCAGGTTCAAATGATTCTCCTGCCTCAGCCTCTGGAGTAGCTGGGATTACAGATGCCCACCACCACGCCCAGCTAATCTTTGTACTTTTAGCAGAGACGGGGTTTCGCCATGTTGGCCAGGCTGGTCTTGAACTCTTGACCTCAGGTGATCTGCCCGCCTTGGCCTCTCAAAATTCTGGGATTACAGGTGTGAGCCACTGCGTCCGGACCTCAGTGTGTGACAATATTTTCAATGTATGATGAGTTTACTGAGAGTATCATAAATGCCTATTGCTTTTATGCCATTGTAAAGTCAAAAAACTCATTAAGGTGAGCCATTCTAAGTAGGAGACTGTAGTTGCTTTGGTCAACTAATAAAAATTAAGAGCCTAGCACAGGGCCAGGCACACACAGTGGGCATTCAATTATTTGTAAAATGACCACAGGAAGGAATGGTCTCTGCTTTCAAGATGCTCCCCTTCAAGCCTCACTAAGTGGATGGGGGCCATCGCTTTCTGTATTTTAATATAGATTATTTTTCGATACATTCCCAACCAGTTCCTGGGCCAGCAATCATGCATGGGGTCACCTGCCTATTAAACAAGCCATTTCTCCTATTCCTTGCTCAGCTTGAAACCAGTTTTAAATCCCATCCTTGAATATTTGTGTGCAAAGTTCCCAAAGTCCTCCTGGCGCCCCAGAGCAATGGGCTGATTGCCTCACATATCAGTTGAGCACAAATGCCCTTGATCATGAGGCTCTCTGAAGACTGGAGAGAACGCTTCCAAACAGAGGGGAATCCTGATGGACAGTCCCCACCCGCCGACGCCCAGGTTGGGAGGGCTCTCCCTTCAACTTCACTTCACTGAGGGCTGCCAGCTTTTAGGTGGCGAGAGGGAGATGCCATGAGGGAAACTCCCTGTGAGCTAGTTTTCCAGAAATAGCCTATAATTTTTAAATTGGTTGTAACATGGAAAAAAACAAAATGCCTTAAGAAAAATTCATAAGTAGGTTCTAAAACATCGAACACAAAAAATATTTGACTTACATGATAAACTGGAAACCTCTAAGAATTTCAGTCTAGGCCAGATATTAGCAGTAAAACCGGTTTTCTAACCAAATTAGTGGTATAAAAGGACCAGCCAGATAAGAAACTGTTTTTGGCCTCTCAAAGGAGTTTATTTCATCAATAACAGCTTCAGTGTAGCATATATAGGGTTCTAGTCCAGAGAAAGACACAGGACTGATATTACACTTTTTTGCACTTAAAAACATCAGTTACGTAGTGCCTTCTATGGCATTTAATATGCTAATTACAAATGATTCTCATACACTATGATTCAACTTAATTAGGCAAAAATTTTTAAACTTTAAAAATTGTGTTCTCAAGGTAATTAAATCCCACTTAAAATCATGTACAATAATTCTAACTTTTACTAACCTTCTTTTCTCCTGATTTTTCATAATCAGTGGGTTTTTGAAAATAATTATGGTTTGGGTTATAATCTGTCTTCTACATTTACCACATAAATGATAAAAATTAAAACCTATTTAAAAGTATTTGTTTTTTAGCAGCTGTGTTTCTTTCTTACAATAAGTAATCAAGCACCTACTGTGTGCCAGGCTATGGCCTAGGCACCCACGCTCTCTCTGAGCTTCAATTCTATGGGCTTTCCCAGAGATGGCGAATGGAGGTCGCAAGCGTGAGCCCAGAGCAGGGAAGGGCATGAGGAACCCACACACTAGTCAGACAACATTCCAACAGGAGGAGCCAATGGCAAGTTTACAAATAAGAATAAAAGTGGATTTTAGGAAACACTCCTTTTGCAGAAAATTGGAAAAGTATTTGCTTTCCTGAACATTTTACTTCATAAGCACAACGACTAAAAAACCCAGAGTTTCATGAGTTCAGTGTAGAAACAGTTCTTATGTAAACAATAAATAGAATCAGTAACTTACTAAAAAAACTAACATTTGACTTTTGCGAGTGAAGGTGGATGCAACATGGGTTTACTGAGCTATAACTCTTCTTCATGGGGGAAAACCTTGTTTTGGTTCTTAAATTCAGGTTAATAAGTGGCTTAGATTTAAGTAGTACAAGCATTGTTTAAAAGCTTGATTTCTCATAAAATGTAACTGCTGGTAAAGACAGTTTATTTGTGTTGTCATTGCTGACAGATGAAGCTTCCTCAAATAGAGAAATGATTTTACATAAAAGGTATATACTTTTGCTTTAACTGGTCAAGTTAGGTAAATGTCAGATTCAAGACTCCCACTGACAAAGTCAATTGGACAGCATTTATTCAGTGCCCAGAATATCAGGCAGCTGATTGTATCCAAGAAAGAAAACAATGGGACGTAAGAATCATAGTTGATTATTTCTCCAATTTAGAACCTTACTTTGGTTTGGAAAAGATGAACATTAGAATTAATATCCCATCTTTCCTATAAAATTGAAAACGTAATTTATAATGCCTTTTTTTTTTTTTTTTTCCTTTCTTCCTTTTAAAGGAGACAGGGTCTCACTACATTGCCTTGGCTGGTCCCGAACCCCTGGGCTCAAGTGACCCTCCTGCCTCAGGCTTCTGAGTAGCTGGGACTATAGGTACACACCACTACACCCAGCTATCATGTTTATTTTAAATCTAACTATATTTACATAGAACACGAGTTCCCTAAGGCCAATCTCATACCTAGTATATAGTAATTTACATGAAAAAAACAAAAACTGCTTCGTTAATCTTATCTGATGAAATAACAGACTTCCCACTTAATTCATTTCAAGGAAAGTCAAGTAATTTACTTGGCTCTGCTGCCCATATAGGTAAATTGAGTTCTGAATCAACAACTGAGAAGGCATCTTCTATTACTGAAAAAATGTCTTCACCAAATTGGCCCCTTCTGAATCACAGGGGGTGAGGGTGTGTGTGTGTGTGTGTGTGTGTGTGTGTGTGTGTGTGTGTGAATCAGGGTGAGGGTGTGTGTGTGTGTGTGTGTGTGTGTGTGTGTGTGTGAATCAGGCCCTTAAAGGAACATTTAGCTTGGAAATAAAGTCATAAAAACTGAAGGGTAATTTTTAAATGAGTTTTTTAAATTAAAAAAAATTGTGTGTACTCAGAACATGCAGCAGTCATCACTGCTGAGCAATTAGTGCCCTGATTTAAGCACTTTACATGTTTTATTTATTCACAAATATCCTATGAGAGAGGCATTATCACTCTATTTAAAAAAAATAAAAATAAAATAAAATGACAGAGACAGAAGTAACTCGGCAAGGGTCAGCCAGCTGTCGATGGTGGAGCTGAGATGTGAGTGCAGGCAGCCTGGCCAGGCTCTGGAATCCCCACACGGTGAAGACACTGTATGTGCCAACACTGAGGCCTCCGTACGGAAGTTTTTACTAAAACCTAGAGATCTTTTTCACAAAATCCACGGCTAAGCCAGTTCCCTCCCATATTGTCAGCATAAAATTGTTTTTAAAAACCTAAAGGAAAGCTTTATTCTCAACCCTTTAATAATTCCTAGAGGCAACTGAGTGCCAGCAGCAACTCCAATATTAAACATGGAAAAGAAGCCTTCCAAAGATAACAGAAAAGGAAAGATTAAAAAAACACTATTTTTGATAATGCTATCAAAAATAATTAATCATTATGCACAATAAAGTCAGAACAAGAGAAGCCTTCTGCGTTCAGACGTAAGAACCAATGTGTTTTAGAAGCTTTTCTTCTCGGCCAGGTGTGATGACTCACGCCTGTAATCCCAGCACTTTGGGAGGCCAAGGCGGGCAAATCACCGGAGGTCTGCAGTTCGAGACCAGCCTGGCCAACATGGTGAAACCCCGTCTCTATTGAAAAAACAAAAAGTATCCAGGCAAGGTGGCGGCGCCTGTAGTCCCAGTTACTTGGGAGGCTGAGGCGGGAGAATGGTGTGAACCCAGGAGGTGGAGCTTGCAGTGAGCCGAGATGGTGCTTACTCCCGCCTGGGCGACAGAGCGAGACTCTGCCTCAAAGAAAAAAAATAAAGCCAAAGCAAGGTTCTCAGAGTTCTAATGAAAATGTTACCACTTAGATTTGGAAGTAGGGATGCATAACACATGCTTGCAGTTCACATGTGGAAATAATCAGCGTGACTGATTTTCAGTGAAATCTTACTTACATTTAAAGCGGCTTCTCCACACTTTTCAATGGCTGCAAGACCCTGATTATGAATGTGTGTCTCCAACAGTTTTTTCAATTCTCCTAGGCCATCCTGGATTCTAGATACAAGATTATACATGCGTCCCAAATCTGAAAGAGGAAGAAACCCCTTTTATGCACTGAAACAAACTTTGCGTACCCATTCTACTAATTATGTATTTATACTGAGATGAAAAATACTCTGCAATAACCATGTTTTTAGACTTTAATAACCAATAGCATTTAATTATAACCAAGTATTCTCTATTTGGTATATGTATATTTTGCTAAAAGTAACAATGAAATTATGCTAATGTAAGTTTATTTTTCTCCTTACTATGAGAAACCACTAACATAAGAATAAGCTATATATATATCAGAAACAACTCTAATGCTTCCTAAAATTCTCAAGATTGAAATAGTATTTATGCCTGACACATAACAGGCACTCAAATAGTTGTTTAAAAACAATGAATATATTTAAGGAGAATATGGATTTCTATCTCAACTATAAAAACAAATGAGTTAAGAAAAGGTCTCCCAAATTCTTCATTTAAGACATGTATATAGCATATGGTTACTTTGTGAGGACCACAGAAGAAAAACCCAAACTTCAACCTTTTATTGAGCTCCTAACATGCCCCAGGTAAAACATGGGAGTGGTTAAGGGAAATATAAGATGATGGTCTCCTCATTTTAGAGAATTTTCAAAGGAAGAACAGTCAAGAAAAAACTTAGGGTAGCATCATTTAATGCTAAAGTGTATGCAGCAAGTCATACTCTAAATACACTCTTCCCTCAAGTCAAACCAAAATGCTCTGCAGAAGTCTGAAATCGCTACATAACGACGTACAAACACATGCATCTTTTTAAAAATGACTGACATGGGCAAGTAACGCCATTGACTTGAGAGTCTAGAATCTCGAGCAGTATCAAAACAGCAGATAATAATAAATACCTACGTTTTATGAGTCTTGTGGCTCACCTTCATTTTTGTCAGCATCCAATAAATTCTGAAATTCTGTGTGGAAAATTTCCAAGTGTTTTTCAATGAGGACTTGTTCACATTTCCTTGCTAATTCATCTTGTGTGCTTTCATGAAGGTAAACCTGAACTCTTCGTTGTTCCTCAAGCAGACGAGCCTCTGCCTGCAGAAAATTAATTCAAGTGAATGGTTTTGATTCATTGGTAAAGAACTGTTACAATTCTTTAATATGTAAATTAAAGGAAATTAATAATGGCAAATTAAATTCACATGCCAGCTCTAATAAAATATGATTAAGAAAATAAGGGAGGGCTGGGCGTGATGGCTCACACCTGAAATCCCAGCATTTTGGGTAGCTGAGGCAGGAGGATTGCTTGAGGCCAGGTTTTTGAGACCAGCCTGGGCAACACAGTGCGACCCTGTCTCTAAAAAAAAAAAAAATTAGCCAGGTGTGGCATGCACCTGTAGTCCTTCCTAGCTACTCAGGAGGCTGAGGCAGGAGGATGGCTTGAGCCTAGGAGTTAAAGGATATAGTGAGCTCTGATTGTACTGCTGCATTTCAGCCTGGGCAACAGAGCAAGACTCTGTCTCTCAAAAAACAGAAAGAAAGAAAAAGGAAAAAGTTCTTTGATTTTACAGTAAACAACCATATTTAAACAGCCACTGATGTCTGCCATTTTCTCTGCAATATGTATTTCCATTTCAAACTTCCTTTTTTTTTTTTTTTTTTTTTTTTGAGACGGAGTCTCGCTCTGTCGCCCAGGCTGGAGTGTAGTGGCCGGATCTCGGCTCACTGCAAGCTCCGCCTCCCGGGTTTACGCCATTCTCCTGCCTCAGCCTCCCGAGTAGCTGGGACTACAGACGCTCGCCACCTCGCCCGGCTAGTTTTTTTGTATTTTTTAGTAGAGACGGGGTTTCACCGGGTTAGCCAGGATGGTCTCGATCTCCTGACCTCGTGATCCGCCCGTCTCGGCCTCCCAAAGTGCTGGGATTACAGGCTTGAGCCACCGCGCCCGGCCCAAACTTCCTTTTTAAGTGCCCTAACAACATCATCATTATTAACAGTTCAAATGTCTTTACATCCATTTGAACCCTCAGACAGTGGTATTTTATCTTTTTGAGGTAATGTCTCTGCCACTCTAAGAAATGAATGCATCTTCTGTGCAGATATTAAGATGTGCTACTTTAGATTAAAAACTACTTGGAGCCAAGAGTCACACAAATATAAGCCCTGAAGTGATTACATGGAAATCATCATCAGAAATCAGACCTTTCAAAAATTTAAAGAGAAACTACTAAATTATCAAAGCAAGGAAGAAATTTCAATAAATTATTCAGGTGATCTGAATAAAGAGAATTATATTTTGAATTATAAAAATGCCAATACTCTCCAAAATGATTTTAAAAAATATATATATATTATTTTCAGAGACAGGATCTTGGCCCTGTCTCCCAGGCTGGAGTGTAGTGGCACAATGACAGCTCACTGCAGCTTCAAACTCCTGGGCTCAAGTGATCCTCCTGCCTCAGCCTCCTCTGTAGCTGGCACTACAGGTGCATGCTGCCACACCCGGCTAACTTTTTAATTTTTTCTAGAGACAAGGTCTCACTATGTTGCTCAGGCTGGTCTCAAACTCCTGGCTTCAAGCGATTCTCCTGCCTTGGCTTCCCAAAGTTCTGGGATTATAGGCTGTCCAGCTACTGTGCCTTGTCCAGATTTTCAAATTCAGTATAATTTTGGAGAAATCTGGAAAAATTCAACTGGTAATGAATCAATACTCAAGAGTCAAGAAAACATAAAATGAAAAAATGATTGGGTGGGACTTGTACTATCAAGAACTAATAATAATGGGACAATTGTTTAAACCACCTAAGTCAGAACCTTATTACACATTCTAAATAGCTAAATGTGAAAAATAAACTTGGAAAATATCTGTAGTATGTATCAAAAGGTCCATATTCTAAATATATAATGATCTCCAGCAAAGCAGTGAGTACCTCCAAACAAAAACATGAGGAAGACAACTCATAAGTGAAGAAATAGAAAAAAGCTTGAAGTTATTGCATTTCCAATAAGTTATTGTATGTTCAGTTAATGAAATATCATTACCCACTAAAACAAACACCAACTACTAATAACAAATCATTAGTGAACAAGATACAAAAAACCTATACCATGATTCCAATGTGGTTTATGTAATCAGCAACAGTGCCCCAGGCTTGTAGGTTTATGTTATTTATATTTTCCAAAAAGTCTACAGTTAATGTGTAATTTTGTTTTTCTGATTATAAAGCTATTTTAAAACAATAAACGCTGCTTCATATCTAATGTTCCACTAACACTGATAACTCAAGAACCTAAAGCTGGTGGAATATAGAACATGCAAACCAAACAGCACCACTTTTTCTGTTTTAAGTTAAAACTCTTTCTTGGAAGAACATAATCATCTCAGGCAGCAAAACATACTTTTACCCCTTCCCAGATAAAAGATTAGGCTTTGATGCCATTGCTGATTCATCCTCTGAGAGGCAAAGCTCTCCACCTCTTAGTCTACAGACCCTTCCTAAAGGGGCTGAGGGGTACGAAGAGTGAAGAGGTACCTAGGTGATTACAGAAACATTCATGGCCGAGAGGCCTCAACACTAGCTTATTTTATATATTGGCAAGGAAACCAAGGTTGTAGGTATTGTCATCAGGTTTCAGAAAGGACAGTCATTTAGGTTCTCTACTGATTCCAAGTCAAATAGGCTCCTGATCATCACTACACTTGGAAGACTATTGTATTAGAACACCAAGGTCAAATTCAAATGACTAAATAAAATATGCAATTAAAGATGGTCTTTATTAATTCAACTAGGATTTGTTCTCAGTAAAAATAAAAGGAAAATAAAAACCAAAAAAGACAAGCACATTAATGAAGTATGGTATTTTTGTTAAGTTTTAAAAAATTGACATTAGAAATCTAGTCATACAGAGATTCTGTAGCTCAGATCAGTCTCAATCGTATGAGACAGTCAAATCTTTCAGAAACACTAACATGGTTCACTCTTCAAAGCCATCCTTGGAAAGACAAGCCAAATATTCCAGATGTTTCCTCTAAAACACTCCTAATAGAGAAAAGTGAACACAAACCCGGGGAATCTGAACTGCTCTCAACAGGCCAGAATTTGCAGAGTATTTCTTGAAGGGTCATGTTTTATCTCAATGTTGTTCTATTTCCTGATAGAATGTTTGTTGTAATGTAAACATAATTGCTCCCTAAGTTATTAAGTAAGATTTGCCACCCTTTATCCTGTGGTTTTGCATCCTCCCAGGCATACACTGGAGGTTTTGTGGGATATATACTTGTAATACCAAATACATTAGCCTTGCTCTTTGCCACACACCATTCTAAGCACCTTTTAACAAATAAATACCTCATGTTAAAATTTGTAAATAATAAATTTCACTTAATCCTCACTATTACCTATGATTATTATTCACATTTTACAGATAAGGCAATTGAGGAACAGAAGCATTAAGGTCATCCCCCTGATAAATGGTAGGGTGGGGATTTAAAACTAGACTCCTAGCACAGTTTGAGATGCAAGGCTATGGGATGAAAACAGAATTACATGGTCAAATTCCAATCTTACGCTTATAGACTCCCTGCATTATCAACTTTCAGAATGTGATGGAAGTCGTGTTTGGTGTGACCCAGGTGCATTTGGGCCAAACCTTTAACTCCTCTAGAAATGAATCCCCTGTATGGGAACCAGGATGTAGGAAGCACACTGCTTCCCTGAAGGCAGGGCTCATGCTGGATTGGACGCATCCAGGCCATTGGAAATCCTTGCTCCTCAACTGTCTTTGGTGTCAGGCCTGGTTTTCAAAACAGATTTACCTGTTCTGGGAGTGCTTCCGTAGTTCTAGCCTGAAACACTGGTTTCCTTGCCCTACAGCACTACTACTTCATCAGTGTGGACAAAGGAGATGACCACAAACCTCTAATAAACCCATAAAAAGAACAGCCTCGCACCACTGTCATGGATGTGCATCTGGATAAGATGTCTTTAGGGACATCAAGTTTTGAAAGAATCACCACATACAGCAGAGTTTAATAAGAGAAGTGTTTAGGAAAACAACACTGTCATATTAAACAAGGAAATAACAAGCAATGCTAACATTCAAAATAGATTATGTTTCAAAAGTTCATTTGTTAGGCAGTTGTTTGAAACTCTGGGTGAGCTGGTTAGGTTCCAGATCAGCATACAGAAGTCAATTTGGCCCACCATTATACGCAAGGAACCATTAATATTCGCAGTATAATACTCTGAATAGTTCCGTCTTTGTTAAATTTTGAGATAGCAGAAATTTGTCAAGGACTTTCAACTTCAAACTTCTAAGCCCATTTATAACCACTATCTCCTATAGGAAAACACATTCAGGTCACCACAAACAAACCAGACAGAACTTTCTCTATGAGGTTAGAGCGGAGCTGTAGCTTTTAATTGACTTTCTATCTCAGCTTATGGAAAAGAGATTCCGCAGTCCATTCATGCTCCAAGTGAACAGCGAATAAAGGGCAAGCAGGTGTCAGGCTTGCAAAGATCCAGACTCCTGGAGATCTCCTAGTATAAGGGTCCTCAAATGCTGGGCTGGGGGTCAGTATGGCTCTGTGGCCTGTTAGAAACTGGGCCGCACAACAGGAGGTGACCAGCAGATGAGTGAGTATTACCACCTGAGCTCTGCCTCCTGTCAGATCAGGGGCAGCATTAGATTCTCATAGGAGCTCGAACCCTGTTGTGAACTGCGCATGTGAGGGATCTACGCTGCGCGCTCCTTTGATCTGAGGTGGAACAGTTTCATCCCCAAACCATCCCCCTTCTTCCCCCCACCGCCATCTATGATGCCAAAAGGGTTGGGGACCATTGTCCTAGTACAGCTAGGTCAAGGGTCAGCAAACCGTAGCCCATAGGCCAAATTCAGCCTGCCTGCCTTTTTCTGTAAATAAAGCTTTATTGGAACCTGGCCACATTCATTGGTGTACATATCCCACTGGCTGCTTTGTGCTGCAATGGCAGAGTTGAACAGCTGCAAAAGAGATCACATAGCTCACAAAGCCTAAAGTATTTCCTAGCTAGCCCTTTACAAGATAAGTTTGCTGACTCCAGACCTATGTCATTCCTTAGAGTCTAAATCCAGGATGTCTATATTTCTTTTTCTTTTCTTTTTTTTGAGACGGAGTCTCGCTCTGTCATCCAGGGCATTGGCACAATCTTGGCTCCTGAATAGCTGGGATTACAGGCATGCGCCACCACGCCCGGCTAAATTTTTTTGTATTTTTAGTAGAAACGGGGTTTTACCATGTTGGTCAGGCTGGTCTCAAACTCCTGACCTCAGGTGATCCACCTGCCTCAGCCTCCCAAAGTGCTGGGATTACAGGCGTGAGCCACCGCGCCCGGCCAGGATATCTATATTTCTAAGAAAGAGAACAAAGAGTAGTAATTCTACTAGATCTTTATTATCAGCGGGCCATGGTTACTCACATCTGTAATCCCAGTAATTTGGGAGGCCCAGGTGGCAGGATCACTTGAGCCCAAGAGTTTGAGACCAACCTGGGCAACCTAGCTCTACAAAAATAAAACAATTAGCTGAGTGTGGTGGCTCATGCCTCTAATCCCATTACTTCTGGAGGTTGAAGTGGGAGGATAGCCATCCTCTCATGTTAGAATTTAAATCCTGGTTTCAGAAGAACCTTTCCTCTAATATAATCCTGAAAGCTATGTAACAGATTCTTAGGGGTATTTTAGAAGCAAAAAAGGAGAAGCTTCAAGTTTGCAAATCTAAGAATATTTGTTTCTTAAAATTTTCTCATTGACGTGACTGTTATGCCCATTATATACAAATCCACATTCTAGGATAAACAGTTAAAAAAGTCATGTCATGTAGCTATTATGGTTATATCCTTAGAACAGCAAGGAGAACTCTTAGTCATGATTACCAAACTAATTTATAGAAGCTCCTTGGAGAATTCGGAGAAGCACTTGCACCTGACGAAGACACTATAGAAAAACAATGCCCAACAAATGACTTGTAAAGAAAGCTGTATATGCTAAAAAGAACTCACTTGAGTAGCAATGACTTTAACTTAAGTCTACTTAAAGTACTATATTTAAGCTTACCTTTTTCATATATTCAGTAACTGGGTTCTGCTGCAAGAATTCAGTACTCTCTCTGGTATAAAATCTCTCTGTGTCAGCCAAAAATTGAGATTCAAAGGATTCTTTATACACTGTTAACGTAGGGCCCTTTGCAAATGCATCATCTTCATTCAGCCCCAATTCCACTAGAAATGAATATGAGCTATATTTCAATTACCCTATTTTTTTGGTTATATTTCACAGAATATACTTAGGTGTAGCATTCAGTTTAAGTTATGTTTAAAAGGTAAATGTGAAATGGCAGGACATAAGTAACTCTTACTCACTAGTATTAAAGTACACTCTTTCAATAAAATAAAAAAGGAAAAAAATCCAAGATGTATAAATAGCAAGTAATTCTGACCCATGGCCAGGTATGCTTCAAAATTATGATGAAGTTCCTTTAGAGAACTTTTATATTTCCAAAAGCAATAAAAATAACTAATTTTAAATTTGCAAAGAAATACAATGCTACCCAAGTTTTTAAGACATTGTATTACTTTATCAGTTTCTCAATCTCAATTTTTCAAGCTGATATAGATTTCTGGTTATCATTGGGCTCACACTCTAACATGTCCAGTAATCCACTACGAGACCAGAAAAGAAAATAATTAAAATGTCTATTTCATCAAAATTTCCTTAAGGCACACGGATCAAACAGCTTTTAGGATGGATAAAAACAAAGTCACACTGACTTAAAAAGAAAGAGAAGTACCTTTGTAAATGCTAACAATGTCCTTTATAATATGAAAATATTTTAAAGTGAAATCTGTTAGAGCATTGTCATAATTGCCATTTGATGTGGAAACTTTGAATAAACTAAAGGGAAATTATTTACCGTAAGACTGTACAACTCCACTAATCAATCTTGTATTGATGGTTTCACCATTCCTTTCCTTTTCAATCAGCTTTAAAACAGCATTTGTTACCTTTAGAAAGGATGTAGAAAAATATTACACAGGTTATAGAATATGATATGTATTACTACATATCCCTTAAACATTCACAGTCATTAAAGAATGTAAGATGGGATAATCCAAAGGAGTGAGTAGACAAAAGCTAAGCAATGACACTGTGAAGGGATTTTAAAAGGAACACGCACACGCTCACACCAGTAGGTACCTGTTTATTCAGTGGCCTGAACAGACAGTCTCTCCAAGTCACCAATGCAAGCTGGAGAAAAAAAAGTACAAAATGTCTATACTTTTACTATGTTTTTCCAAGATTGAAGTCATAGGAAATAATCTAAATCTCAAATTACTTCATCAAAATTTCTAGATTACAAGTTGGTCAAAATCTGCCATCATGACGAAATCAGAAAGCCACTCTCTAGAGTCAACAACTTCAAGAGGTATCCAAGCACAGACATTCAGCTCAACTTCTTTATTTATATTTTCTTTAACTGTTGCTGAAAACAGTATAGGAAAAGTTTAAAAACTGTAATGATTTTTAGGAGTCTGTGATGTTACTGTAGGGTACACATTTAGGCCAAGCAGGTTTCCAAAAGGAAATGAACCAAGATCATCCTGATTCCTATACTAACAACTTTTGAGTCTCGAGAAAGCATTTATATGTGAAAAAGAAAAAAAATCCCATTAGCTATTCCACAATACACACATATTTCAAAAAGGCATGGTGTACACATTTTTGTCAGTTAAAAAAATAAACAAAATGTTAAAGGGGAAGCACAAAAGCCCCAAATCAAACAACTAAACCTAGAAAGTTTTGTTAGAACCAGATTAACTACATAGCAAAGTACCATTATGAAGCAATTAACAATTTTGGTATAGAAACTGGAGCTACACAAACAATAAAAACAAGTCATGCATCCGGGATACATTAAGCTTTTCTTTTTTTTTTTTTTCCTTTAGACAGGATCTCACTCTGTCCAGTGGTACGATCATGGCTAACTGCACCCTCCACCTCCTGGGCCCAAGCGATCCTCCCACCTCAGCCTCATGTGTGGCTGGGACTATAGGTGCCTCACCATGCCTGGATACATTTTTTTGTAGGTCTCATTATGCTGCCCAGGCTGGTCTCCCGTCTCGGTCTCCTAACGTGCTAGGATTACAAGCATGAGCCACTGCAACCAGCATTATGTTTTTCTTTTAAATTTGTCAAAAGTGAAGCTACAAAGTATTGCTATTATAGCAACATTCTTGGATATGGTGATTAACTCCTTTATGTAGAATCTGACATTTTAACAAAACTAGTTTTAAAGGGCATTGCCTGTGTTGATCTGACAGTCTATGAACAGACTGTTCTGGGTCCTCCCTTAATTGCTCTAGAACACTGGTTCTCAAACTGGAGCATGCATCAGAATTGTCTGGAGAGCTTGGTAAAACATTGCTGGGCCCCATCTCCAGAGTTTCTCTTTAAGTCTAGGATGAGGCCTGAGAATGTTCATTTCTAACAAGTCCCCAGGTGATGCTGACAGAGTAGGTTTGGGGACCTGATACGGTTTGGCTATGCCCCCACCCAAATCTCACCTTGAACTATAGCTCCCGTAATTCCCACATGTTGCGGGAGGCAGTCAGTGGGAGAGAACTGAATCATGGCGGTGGTTCCCCCACACTGTTGTCATGGTAGTGAATAAGTCTCACGAGATCTGATGGTTTTATAAGGGTTTCTGCTTTCGCTTGGCTCTCATTCTGTCTTGCCTGCCACCATGTAAGGTGTGCCTTCTGCCATGATTATGAGGCCTTCCCAGCCATATGGAACTGTTGAGCCCATTAAACTTTTCTTTATAAATTACCGAGTCTCAGGTAGTTTTTTTTTATCAGAAGTTATGAAAACAGACAAATATAGGACCATACTTTGAAAGCCAATGGACAAAAAAACCCCTTTTGTTGACTGAAGCAACATATATTAATGAGGGTGATTTAGTAATTAATTCAGGGTCCTCTCCCTGAAGCAGGGTTTCCCAGACTATAAAGCATGGGAGGGCTAATCCTCAGGGCTCGCCCTCAGGTATGGCACCTGATTTGCCTGGGACTGCCAGGCCTCAGGACTTTCAGTGAGAAAACTCAGGCAGTTCCATGCAAATTGTGATGGTAGGGTCAGGTAATTAAAGAAGAAATTTTTAAAAAGCAAATGCAGAAATGGACAAATTGTATTTTAGAACTCCAATTTACCCATTCCTCTACTTTCTTGCTAAAAAATATTTAAGGGACATTTATTGATAAAACAATGAAAATTAGTTTACTACTCTGAAAAAAGCTTAATATTTGCCTAGATTCTCTTACTAAAAGACAATTTATCATTTAAAAAAAACACATTTAAAACAAAACTCTTACTGAATAGATTTCATATATTCCTTTTCGTCCTTCGTCACATTCACGGCGAACCCAATGTCTATTGAGGTAGGCACAAATTCCATTCAGTACTTTGCTTGAAAATCGATAATCTTCCCATTGTTGAGTGTAGAATTTCAGTACACTCTCATCCATCAAATCTTCTCCATCCTAAAAACAAGTTAACTAAAGCTTTAAGATGACTAATTTGTCAAATTATAAATTAAAAATAAAAGTGAATAACATCTACTGTATTAAAATACATTGATACACGTGATTTTAGATGGCTTCTTTAAATTATTCTGTATACAAAAACATGCTAATAAACTCACAAGAATATAGTAAAACAATTCTTTCATCTCAAATTAAACAGGAATATTTTTCATGGTATTAAATATCCACAAACACTCAAAAAAAGTACCCTGAACATTTGATATGCAGGTAATTCCTTTTTATTAAGAAATTTACCTCAAAATCATCTGTATTTTTAATATTTTGTTTAAAAAAAAAATTGGTCAGGTACAGCGGCTCACACCTGTAATCCCAGCACTTTGGGAGGCCGAGGTGGGCAGATCACTTGAGGTCAGGAGTTCAAGACCAGCCTGGCCAACATGGTGAAACCCTGTCTCTACTAAAAATACAAAAGGTAGCCGGCCGTGATGGTGCATGCCTGTAGTCCCAGCTATTCGGGAGGCTGAGGCAGGGGACTCGCTTGAACCCAGGAGACAGAAGCTGCAGTAAGCCAAGATGCTACCACTGCACTCTAGCCTGGGCAACAGAGCAAGACTCTGCCGCTCCCCCTCCCCCGCAAAAAAGAAATCAAGTCAACATGTCCTACTCAGCAATTCAGACAATGAGGCTAATACTATTCAATTTTTAAATGTATCTTCTTCCTTCTTAAAAACCATCAAAACACTTTTTTGTGGTAATCTGTAAAAATAATGTGAGTACGACAGTGTAACAATACTTCCTCTTTAACAAGCCCTCATAAAGAAAATGTGCATTTACCAAAATTATTTTTATCCAGATTTCCACAACTCGAGTCACGAATTTTTATTTGAAGGAGACTAACTTGAAATTTTTTCTTAGGGATTAACGGCATCTACAAAGTAAGCTTTACTCTTTAAAAACGTTAATGGCACTGTATGGCAGCACTGCCATTTAGGTGTGTGGAGCAGGGAAGCACGAAAGAGGAAGGTGGGGGCGGAAGGGCTGCAGGAAGGGCTGGGGCGAGCCCACTGGCTTCTCTGAGCCTCAGTGTCTTCAGTGAAAACTAAATGGCTACGACAGACTTGAAGCTCCACCTGTATAAGGTACACGAGTGACCGAACAAGCCATGTAAAAACCTGATCATCTCTTGACACACATAATTTTTTGTTCATTTAAATTTAAGTAATATGAAATGAACTTTAAAATGTAAAGCTAAGCTATTTTGGTTGATGGTACCTGACCTTTTTAAAATGCAAAAATATCACTGATGGCATGGTCATCAACATTACTACTTAGCACAATATGCTGTTTCTTACTTTAGTACTAAAGAATAATTAATTAGAACATTCACTTTACAATGTGTTATGAATAAAAAGAACAGTGGCTTCAGCAAGACCTTAGAAACACCATGTGAGGAAGATGAAAATAATACACTAGTCACAACTTGTGGCCAGCCAACTACATGCAGTCTGTTAGCATGATGTTTTAAAGTTTTCAATTAGCTTGTAAAAATAAATTAGGTAAAACAATTTTGCAGCATGCAGAAATTTCTGCACATTGTGTAAATCAAAAATATTTAAAATACTTAAAACAGAAGAGTTCCTGCAAATTTCCCTGGGTTAAGAGTATAGATGTCTTCACTCTGTGACGGTGTAGAACCAGATGAATGACCCACTTGCTCATCTTGTGGCTAGATACAAGGAGTCACACTGCCTTTGCTACAAAGGATGAAGACCAAGGAAGAAAAAGGCGGGAGATGAAAGGGAAAAGACTCCACCACTGCCCAATCAAAGGCTTGGAGTGGGAGGGACCTATGCTAGAAGGAAATGGATATTCACAGTGAAACTCATCCTAGTCACAAGCACAACTTCACAGCAGTTTTGAAATACACGTCATGGCCAGGCACTGTGGCTCACACCTGTAATCCCAACACTTCGGGAGACGGAGGCAGGCGGACTGCTTGAGCCCACGAGTTGGAGACCAGCCTGGGCAACATAAAGAGACCCTGATTCTACAAAAGATTTAAAAATTAGCTGGGAGCTGGATATGGTGGTACATACCAGTAGTCCTAGCTACTCAGAAGGCTAAAGCGGGAGGACTGTTTAAGCCCAGGAGTTGGAGGCTGCAATGACCTATGATTGGACTACTGCACTCCAGCCTGGGTGACAGAACAAGACCCTGTCTTTAAAAAAAAAAAAAAAAAGGGAAAAGAAAAAAAAATACTTCACAACCATGTGTAAAGAACAAGATCACATTTGAAAAACACGGTTTCCAAGACTGAATAACCTTACAATTATTTATACACCTGACAGGGAACCCCACGTTGGGTTTACAGTAAATGCAGGTAATATGAATACGTATTTGCTTTAAATAAAAAAGTTCATCATTTCTAACAACCAAATCCAAAATGGTTGGTAACTTAAGGAAGGCACTATTACTCTAAAAGGTTATCAAAGGTTTCTAATTTTAAAAAACAGAATGAGCTGGACACAGTGGTAAGCATTTGCAGAGTCTCAGCTACTCAGGAAGCTGAAGTGGAAGGATCACTTGAGCCCAGGAGATCAAAAATCCAGCCTAGGCAACATAGTGAGATCTCCATCTCGAAAAAACAAAACCCAGAATATAGTTTATGATGATTTCATATTCACAGTAGGTAAAAGACTATGCAATAGCAAAAGACTGTCACCCACATTAGTGTCTAAAACATAACAGATGACAGTGAAAGATTTAACAAGTTAGAACCACTATTTCACTCCTTTTTAAAATATCCTGTTATGAATACTCAGTATATATGTAAAACATCTTACCTTAAGAAGATTTGTCAAGTAATTCTTCAAAAATTCCTTAAGTCGTTTATATAATTCCAGGCCAACAAACTGAGCTCCTCCAGGTGTCTGCCCCTTTTTCGACTTAGAAGGAGGAACTCCAGCTCCTCGTGCTTGGTTTGACTGGTGAACACTAGTACAGTAGTTATAAACATGACTTGGAGAGAAGTTAAGGAAACCAACATATATCACAGACGTTAACAGTCATGAACATAAACATATTTTCTTATATTTCATTACCAATGCATTCCCAATATATCAACCAAAACCTGTTAAAAACTAGAGTGGAACAAAGATCCCATTCACACTATACATAAAGCTAAAAGGCAACAAGCCCCATTCACAAGGTTCTTGGTAGGCCTTGAGAGCAACACCGCCAAGGTGGAGAAGGGAACATTCCAGGAGGGAGGTTGCCAATAAAAAAATCTGGACCTTTTAGATTATCTAATGTGACTGACCTTGTGGAAAACTGTCCCAAAAGGAAAATGCAATCACTGACTCCTGGAAAAGCAAACAGCTAACAACAAGCACTGTCTATTATGATGCTCAGCTGTAACTTTTTCAAAGGGACACATTCTAAATACTGAAATAACAGAAACTTTATTTTAAAATGACTTAGAGAGCCTAGTCCTTAGCCATAGACATCTAAAACTTATCAGTCAATGGCAGCAGTGTCCACACACTACTGAGAAATAGAGATGTATAAACCACAGCAGACAGCTGATTGCGAAACAGCTGCACCTGCAGGGGGAGCGCAGAGAATGAGAAGATGGGGACAGGCAGGGCAGAGAACCACCATGTTCTGTTGTATCCTTTAAATACGACAAGCTTATCTGCACGTATTATTAATTGACTAAAATGAACGGAAAGATACTTATACTCAGATCAACAAAACAGAACAAAACAATATTCTGGTATAATTAAGAATTTACTATATAAAGATACTTCAAGACAGTGTGTAAAAGAGATTATCTAATAAATGGCATGAGGCAAGATATTTCTAAATATTCCATGTTATATTCCAAAATATACTACAAATGGATTAGAATTTTAAAAATATACAAGCTAAAACAGTAAAACCAAGGATATATATGTGAACACTTATCTGTTCTCAGATTGGAGTGGCCCTTTCTAAGTAAGGTCATACAAAAAAATGAATTCAGGCCAGGCGCGGTGGCTCATGTCTGTAATCCCAGCACTTTGGGAGGCCGAGATGGGGGGATCACGAGGTCGGGAGATCGAGACCATCCTGGCTAACATGGTGAAATCCTGTCTGTTTGGGGTCCCTGACTTCCCACAACATGTCTCTACTAAAAACACACACAAAAATTAGCCGGGCGTGGTGGTGGGCGCCTGTAGTCCCAGCTACTCGGGAGGCTGAGGCAGGAGAATGGCGTGAACCCAGGAGGTGGAGGTTGCAGGAAGCCGAGATTGCGCCACTGCACTCCAGCCTGGGCGACAGAGCAACACTCTGTCTCAAAAAAACAAATAAATAAATTCAAAATTATAGATTAAGATGAAATACCTTTAACTATCTTTAATAAATTAAGGTAATTTAAAGCAATAAAAAAAAGAATCTCTAGGAACACATGAACAAAATATACCACAGAAAATCTAAAAGGTAAAATACATACTAATGCCTCCAAACCTAATAAAATACTCAACCAATCTAGGCAGTAATCAAAGAACTGTATTTTAAAACAATGAAAAATTTTATTACCTATCTCAATTGTACAGAGAATCACAGATTACAATAAGCAACTACTGTATACTCATGACCCAGTTTTGACAGATCTTACTGCATTCCTACACTTGTCTCATATTCCACCTACAGGCCCCCTCAACTTTTGAGAAAATAAAATATTACAGGTTATAAGTGAAGCACTATGTTCTCTTCTTTCATCCCACTCCTTCCTCTTACCCTAGCAAACACCACCATGTTTTGGTATATATCATTCCTATGTTTTTATATTTTGCTGGATAGATATATATCAAATATATTTCACGTCCTACATTTTGTTTTGTTTTTCTGAGATGGAGTTTCACTCTTATTGCCCAGGCTGGAGTGCAATGGTGTGATCTTGGCTCACTACAACCTCCGCCTCCCGGGTTCAAGTGATTCTCCTGCCTCAGCCTCCCAAGTAGCTGGGATTACAGGCAGGCGCCACCGTGCCCGGCTAATTTTGTATGTTTAGTAGAGATGAGGTTTCTCCATGTAGGTCAGACTGGTCTCAAACTCCCAACCACAGATGATCTGCACACCTCAGCCTCCCAAAGTGCTGGGATTACAGGCGTGAGCCACCGCGCCTGGCCATGTTCTACATTTTAAAATTACACAAATTATAACATGTACATTTGTTCTGTCATTTGTTTTTGATGGTATTTGACATAGCCACAGCTGTAATATACTGTGTAACACACATTTACAAAACTTTATCAACTCTCTTGGTGGTGGACCTTGATAATGGTCCCTTTGGCAGGTGCCTTTTTTGTGTGTATTTACAAAGCTGCAAAGAATAAAACTAGCAGGTCTCCTTGCATACATGCACAAGTTTCTTGGAGCACATAAATACTAAGTGACAAGAGATGTATATTCTTTCTTTCTTTTCCTTATTTTGAGACAGAGTCTCACTCTGTTGCCCAGGCTGGAGTGCAGTGATGCGATCTTGGCTCCCTGCAACCTCCTGGGTTCAAACGATTCTCCTGCCTCAGCCTCCAGAGTAGCTGGGATTACAGGCACCTGCCACCATTCCCAGCTAATTTTTGTATTTTTAGTAGAGACAGGGTTTCACTGTATTGGCCAGGCTGGTCTTGAACTCCTGACCTCAGGCAATCCACCTGCCTCAACCTCCCAAAGTTGCTAGGATTACAGATGTGAGCCACCTTGCCAGGCCCTTTTAAACAATTTTTGGTAGAGATGGGGTCTTGCTATATTGCCCTGGTTGGTCCAAAACTCCTGAGCTCAAGCAATCCTCCTGCTTCGGCCTCCCAAAGTGGTAGGTTTAACTTTATTAAGAGTTGCCAACTTGGTGCTACAAAGCGGCTGTGCAGCACGCTGTAGTGCATGAGTTTTCATTGACTACAACCTTGGTCATGCATTCATACTGTGGTTTTTCATGGTTTTAATATCCATTTCCAGGGCACAGGCAGAGTTTTTTTTTTTTTTTTTTTTTAAGAGACAGGACCTCACTATGTTGCCCAGGCTGGAGAGCAGTGGCTATTCACAGACATGATCATAGCATGCTACTGCCTCAAACTCTTGGTCTGAAGTGATATCCCACCTTAGCCTCTTGTGAAGCTGAAAATCCAGGCACATGCCACCACACTGGCTTGACTTAGCACAGTTCTTTTAAGGGCCTTAGGATTTTCAGAATGGTAAGTGAACACTCCTTTCAACAAAGTCACCGGCTACATTCACCCCTAAGAGAGTCAGCCTGTCCTCTGAAGCTTTGACACAAGCATTAACTTCTGTCTAGCTATGAAAGTACTAGGTGGCGTTGAATACTATGCAGCCATAAAAAAGGATGAGTTCAGGTCCTTCACAGGGACATGGATGAAGCTGGAAACCATCATTCTGAGCAAACTATCACAAGGAGAGAAAACCAAACACTGCATGTTCTCACTCATAGGTGGGAATTGAACAATGAGGACACTTGGACACAGGGCGGGGAACATCACACACCAGGGCCTGTCATGGGGTGGGGGGGCTGGGGGAGGGATAGCATTAGGAGAAATATCTAATGTAAATGGCGAGTTAATGGGTGCAGCAAACCAACATGGCACATGTATACCTATGTAACAAACCTGCACATTGTGCACATGTACCCTAGAACCTAAATTAAAACAACAACAACAAAAAAAAAAGTCCTAGGTGGCATCTCCTTCCAATAGAAGGATGTGCAGTGGGAGTCGGGGCACCAGCAGGGCAGAAGGCCTTGGGGGTGCAGGCTGCGTGGGGACTGTGAGACTTACAGAGGGAACTGCTGCTGAATGTGTGACCCTCCTGGGGGCAAGAGGCCTCCAGAGTGTGCAGGATGTGAGAGGCTCTAGTTTCTGTGTCAAGAGGCCCAAGGAAAGCTTATCACCAGGCTGAGGCTACACAAAATTTTAAGACTCAAAATTTTAAGAATTGGCAGCATTTTGGGAGGCCGAGGCAGGCGGATCATGAGGCCAGGAGATCGAGACCATCCTGGCTAACATTGTGAAACCCCGTCTCTACTAAAAATACCAAAAAAAAAAAAAAAAAAAAAAATTAGCCAGGCGTAGTGGCGGGTGCCTGTAGTCCCAGCTACTCGGGAGGCTGAGGCAGGAGAATGGCATGAACCTGGGAGACGGAGCTTGCAGTGAGGTGAGATTGCGTCACTGCACTCAGCCTGGGCGACAGAGCGACACTCTGTCTCAAAATTAAATAAATAAATAAATAAATAAATAAATAAATAAATAAATAATCTGTTACTTACTCAGCCACCTTCATCAGTGATCCTAGATTTCTGGCTAATTTGCTGTCCTCCATCGGCACTCGCTGCTTCACCTTGCACTACTGTTATAAAAGATGGCTTCTTTTCTTTAATCGCATGAACCAACCTCTGCTAGCTTCTAGCTTTCCTTCTGTAGCTTCCTCACTTCTCTCAGCCTTCACAGAATTGCAGAGAGTTAGGGCCTTGCTCTGAATTAGGCACTGGCTTAAGGGAACGCTGTGGCTGGTTTGATCTTCCATCCAGACCACTCCAACTTTCTCCTTATCAGCAATACGGCTGTTTCGCTTTCTTATCATTTGTGCTTTCACTGGAGCGGCGCTTTTAATTTCCTCCAAGAACTTTTCCTTTGCATGCACAATTTTGCTAACTGTTTAGCACAAGAGACCTAGCTTCTGGCCTGTCTCAGCTTTCAACATGCATTCCTCATTTAGCTTAATTGTTGCTAGCTTTTGATCTAAAGTAAGAGACATGCAACTCTTCCTTTTACTTGAACACTCCGAAGCCATTGTGGGGGTTATCAATTGGCCTCTATTCAATGTTGTTGTGTCTCAGGGAGTAGGGAGGCCAGAGAGAGAGGGGGAAACGGCCAGTCGGTGGAGCAGACACATGCATTTATGGATTAAGTTTGCTGTTTTAGATAGGTGCAGGGTGTGGCACTTCAAAGCCATTCTTTTTATCA